AAAATAATTTTAACTTAAAAAGAAATAAAATTTGATTATACCTATTCTCTTTCATGATATATAAACATAGCATAGTTTAATAATGGAACTTGGCATTGATAGGTAATCACTAGGTAATCCAAAAGACCCATATCAGTCACTTTCACTCTTAAAACAGCTACTGGTAGCCACTATTTGTAAAGCCTCACCTCTTTTTCCTACTAGGAGTCAACCGCAGAGCACTTCCTGTGGCTCAAGTCGTCCTCCGGTGGTAATTTCCTGAAAGCTGGCCGCCGGTTGAGAGGCTCCATCACTCCCAGTTCTGTTGCCAGGAAGCCCTTCTGCTTCCTGCTGCGCTGCCTCAGTGTCCCGTTAGCTTCATTGCTCCCACATCTAGCTTGTCAGAATGGCTTTGAGTAAAATTTGATTAGTGTCAACTCAGTACTTCCTTCTTCCGGCCCTTAAAGGACTGGGTTTTCAGGATGGTTTCTCGATCTTTGAAGTATGAAAGACTCAGTTGTGAACTTTGTTCTTAGAAAGAAAAACAATTTCAATTCCTTAGGCAATCATGCGATACTTGAGCAATCGGCCAGCTTCTACTCAAGACTGATTTTCCTGCCCCCAAACACTGTGTCAACACACAGAATTGACACAATTACCTGAAGGGCCAGTTTGCATCAGAAGCAATGTCATCAGGCTGTCCTGGGTGGGGGGAAAAGTGTATAGGAAGGTGTCCCTGGTCCCTACACACACACTGATCAGCGCCACCGCTGCAACCCACGTAAGACACATCCTAAACACACGTACACAAATGCACACAGGCCAACAGACTGAGAAATTAAGGTGGAAGCTCACCCTAAGGCATACACGCGCCTACATAGAAGCACAGATCTGGAGAGAAAGAAGGAGGAAGAGAATGGGAATGAAAGAACAAAGGCAAAGGGCACTGTAATAGTTAGATTTCACCTCAGCAAATGCACTGAACAGAATTAGTTGAAGGAGAGCATATGGAGAGAGTGACAGCGCTGGACTGAGGGTCAAGATTACTCTGGGAAATCAACACAGCTTTTGTTGTGCGAAGGGAGAAATTAGGGGAACCCGAGTGACTCCTATTTACTGTGATAAATTCACCGATAATCAATCCAATCTCCGTGACTGTGAGAGACATCAGGAGGAGAGGTGACCCCGCTTTCCAAAACTGGGTACTTTCAGGGCAAGCACTGCAGGCTACGGAGGTGCAGGCCCAGAGGAGAAGCCCAGTTAAGAACGCATTCAGGCGCCAGGCCCGGATCTGAAGGGGTAAGCGAATTATAGATGCCACACCCCGAAATCACCTCCAAATTCAGATGTGGTTACCGCGTGGTATGAACTTGGCTTTTAAGGTGAGAACTTCTTGGTGAAGCCGTTAGCAAATCTACCGGAAGGAATAATACAGCAAGAGAAAAGGGGATTTTGAGCACTGTGGCCGGTACCCTGAGATCCCGATTCTCTGCGCGGGGAGGCCCGGGGTTCGCCGCGGCTGGCGCGCTCCATGGCTCCCGGTGGCTGTGGTGTGGCGCGGAGCCCGCGCGGGATTTCCAGAATCCGGGAGGGCAGCTGTGGGTGAGCCTGGACGGTGCCGCGGCTCCACGAAGGTACCTCATGGCGGCCGGCAGATTCCGGGCGGAGAGGTGGGGTCCGCGGTCCCGCGCGAATGCCCTGAGCCCTCCGTGCTGGGGCCGCCGTCCGGGCGCCCGAGCTTCAAGTGTCCATCGCGAGGACGAGCGCACCGCGCCCAGGAGCGGAGGAAGGCCGCTGGCCCCACCGGGGATGTAGGTACGGCGGTTCCCGTGGGTCCCGGCACCCGGCGGTCCCTTGAGCCCCGGCCGGCTGACTCTTTTCTCGTCGTCGTTCAGGCCTCCTCACCCGGAACCTGGGCCGCGCGGGGGTTCGGCTGGCAGCTCCGGGCGCCCTCGGCCCGCGGTTCGCGTTCGCCAGCCCATGGTCGAGGGCCGCCACGCGGACTGGGAGCGCACGTCCAGCCGCACGCGGGGCTTGGGCGGCCGGGGGTGTCGGACCGCGCGCCCCACCCGGTCAGGTGAGGCCCCATGTGACACCGACGGAGCTCGGAGCTCGTTCCCCTCCTCGCTGTCTTCCAGGCCTACCTGGCGAGTCGGGCCGGCCCGTCCTCCGCCGCCTCCCTGGATCTCCTGGGTCTCCTGGGGGGGCCGGCCTCCACTGGCAACAGCACCTCCTCTCGGCCTCCCCCACCACTGTGCGGCCGGCCGGCAATAAACTTGAAAGACACCATCTCATTTCATCCTCGCGTTGAGCCCATTATATTCCAGCATGTTAGTCGCTCAGTCATGTCTGACTCCTTGCGACCCCATGGACTGCAGTCCACCAGGCTCCTCTGTCCATGGAATTTTCCAGGCCAGAATACTGGAGTGGGTTGCCGTGCCCTCCTCCAGGGGATTTTTCTGACCCAGGGATTGAACCCGGGTCTCCTGCATTGTAGGCAGATTCTTTACCGTCTGAAGCACCAGGGAAGACAGAGGAAACGGAGAACTCAGGGAGAACTCCCCGGGTAGCTAAAGGGGTAGAAGGTGATTGGAGACCGGGGAGGCAGAACTGAAAGCCGGGTTTCTGCGCGGAGGCACCGACCCCGCGAAGCTGGAGGCCGCAGGCAGGCCGGAGGCAGACCGCGCTCTCCACTCCCGAGCCCGCCCCGGCGGTCCGGGCTACTCCTCGGGATGCGGAACCCTGGAACCCTGAGTCCCCACGCGAAACCTCAACAACTCCTTGTTCTCCGAGCTCAAATCCCCTTACCTCCACGAATTGGGAGGCCGAGCTCCAGAGGGTCCGCTTTCCGCACCCCCAGATCAGCTCCCCCGGTGTCCGGCGAGGACAGCTCGCCTGGTCAGGGATGCTGCGGGCAGTCTAAGTGTACTTACGAAGCGGGGCGGCGTGAAACTAGGACGCGCGCAGTAAAGGTCAGTGGGTATGTGACCAAGAGGGGATCTGTCGGAGAGAGGCTGTGGGGACCCGTGAAGAACTGCAGCCGCAGTTCCCCAGAAAACGACCACGGTTGTAAAACAACCTATTTTACAGGGGTAACTATTTTCTAGACACTGAATTAAGCGCGTTGCTTGTGTTCTTTGGTGTAAACCTCAGAGCTCTGTGAGGTGCGTCCACGTTTCAGATGAGGAAACCCAGGCACGGGGAAGTGGAGTCATTTTATGAGTCTCAGCTGGCGTTTGAGGGACCCCAGGTCCGAACCGAGAGGTGCTGGACTCCGGAGCCCAGGCAGGTGCACACAGGCTGCAGGGCGAGAGGACTGCCTGTCTTGGGAGGCGTCTCACGGACGAGGAAGAGCTCCTTTCTGATCCACAGAACCTGCTTTTCTTTGGACATCATGACTCGATTTCGCTCAGAAAAACAAAAAGCAGAACAACCCAATGACAACAAAACAGCAAAACAAGCAGAAGCAAAAACCACCAACGAAACAAACCTTTCGTCTTTTTGCTAAAGAAAATATCATCGACTCTTGGGCGTGAGTCCATGCCTCAGGACTGAACAGTGGGGGTGCTTGGGAAGCGCCTTCAGGCACGCAGCTGGGCCAGCTGCCTGTCCAAGGGTCGTGGGGAGGAGGGGGTGTCTGGAGGTCGGGAGCCCACAGAACTGCAGCCTGTGTGCCCCCAACACAAGCTTCCTGGCCCCCCAGGCTCCAGGGGTAGAGACTCATCCAGGACCGCCAGCTCTGGGCGTTTCTCTGATGGCCTGAGTGCCAGCAGTGCAGGGAGGCAGCTCTGACACTACCTATTCATGGACAGCCCCCCCATTTCCAAACCCTCCATCTCTGGGCTCCATTGCCTAAAAAATTAATTCATCTTCAGAAGTGACTCTTAACTTTAAAATAAATCCGAAAATCCACCCACCGATAGGCTTTCTCAACCTCATAACCCAAAGGTGGTGTCTTAATTACTGAGTTTTCTCTGGTCAGTGCCAAAGAAAATATGTTGCTTTAATTTTTTTAAATGAATTGGAATCATTGCGCCACAAAACGGGTTCGATACAAAGCCAGGGGAATCAGTCTTCTTCTCTTTCCAATTATCTGTATTTATTCATCGTTTCCCACAAACATCACCTGAACACAAGACCCGGACCCTGAAACAACCAACTGACCTGGAAACCACAGACCTGTTTGTAAAGAACTGTGAGGTAATTTAAAAACTTTAAATAAAAATAGCCATTTTCCCTTCCCCCAAGCTCCCCGACCACATAAGCTTTCGTCATCTCTGAGGATGTGGAAATCACACTCTGGATAGTTTCCAAGGTGAGTCAGGCCCCCTGCTTGCCTATGCAGTCTTCCCTGCCAGGAGACCAGGAACTAAATGCACACCCACATATCTCTGGTTCAGCGATTGATAGGGGCCTCTTTCTCCCCCAAACCTCCAGGTCCCTCCCACCTCACCAACGGGGTTGTACATTGTCCTGCCGCTGCCCAGGGATCTCTGCAAGGTGGTCTCTTTTTCAGAGAAAAGAAGTGGAGGCCGAGGGATGTGCAGTGAGGTGCCTGCTTCTGATGAAAAGGTTAAAACAGAAGAGGAATTATTCTATTCCATTTCACTAGGTCTTTGAAACCTCAGATGTTTCCTTTCAATTATTTCTAAAGGTAAAGGCAGAGAGACCTTTAGAGTAAAAAAATGGCTCTGATTCCGGGCAGATGAAGGGGCTCCAGCCGGCTTGCCTGCTTGTGTTGGGGCAAGGTTCCTATCTGTACAGTTTTTATGGTCTTTTTGAAGAGGTGGCTTCTCTAAAATGAGGTCCAACACCCCAGTCGCTGCCAGTCCCAGCAGTTTCACCGGAAGCGGCCCCGGACATTACAGAGAACTTCTCTTCTTCAGGGGAAGGAGGACAGCGTCTGCCCACCGCTTCCCAGTGAGCACAGGGGTCTCAGAGCCCCCGGGCTCTCCCCTGCAGCCTGGACCGGTGGTCACACCCGGGGTCCTGGGTCCGCTCCTCCTGCCTGGGCGAGTCTCTCACCGAGATTCTTGCGGTCGCAGGGGCGCGACGCTGGAAGGCTGCGGCGAGGCGCTAAGGCCCGGCGGCAGGCGGCCCTCTCGGGCGGCGGCGGGGCCCGCGGGCGGCACGGCACCCCCGGGGGGCGGCGGGGGCGGCAGCGCTAGCAGCTCCTCGCCGGAGGTCACCGCGCAGTCCTGCTCGGGCTCCGCGTCCCCACCTCCTGCCGCCGGGGGCCCGCAGCTGCGCTTCTTGTCCTCCTCCTTCTTCCACTTCATGCGGCGGTTTTGGAACCAGATCTTGATGTGCCTCTCGGTCAAGTTCAGCATGACGGCCAGCTCCACGCGGCGCGGCCTGGAGATGTATTTGTTGAATAGGAACTCCTTCTCCAGCTCCAGCAGTTGCGCGCGGGTGTAGGCGGTGCGAGTCCGCTTGTTCTCCTCGGGCTCCGCGGCGTAGGCACCGCCTGCGGGCGACATCGCACGTGAATGCGGGGCCTCCCCACCCCCGACCCCTGGCTCCTCCCGCCTGCTCCCACCCTTGCAGCCCGGTCCTTCGGCTCTGGCCCTTTCCCAGCCGCTCTGGCCGCCGAGATCCAAGCATCTATCCAAGAGTACAATCGGAGGCTCAAAGGCCTTCCCTGGTAAGGCTGTCTTTTCTTGGAGGTCTTTTATCTCCCCGTGACTCTATCAACCAGTGGGTCTAGAATCACTCTGTTGGGGTTGATGCTGATTAAAATGCACATAGTGAAAAAGTGAAAGTGTTAGTGGCTCTGTCCTGTCCGACTCTTTTCGACCCCACAGACAGTAGCCCACCAGGCTGTTCTATTCATGGAGTGTTCCAGGTAAGAATACTGGAGTGGGTTGCCATTCCCTTCTCCAGGGGATCGTCCCTTCCCTACCGACCGAGGGATCAAACCCGGGTCTCCTGCATTGCAGGCAGATTCTTTACTGTCTGAGCTCCCAGAGAAGCCCAAAGTGCACATAATAGGAATCTAAACCAACTGGATCCTACAAAGGCAAAAAATGTCTTTAAATAAGGACTTAAAAAAAAAAAAACCTTTCTGATGATGACTCATAGTAAGAAATGTATTTCAAATCATCACTTAGTTCACACACTGATATATAATTGACATATCAAAAATCTAGGACATTAAACCAAACTTTACCACATATGATGCTGTCTAATTTTCCCTGTTGTTTACTGGGTTGTGCTTAGTCGTGTCCGACTCTTTGTGACCCCATGCACTGGGGCCCACCAGGTTCCTCTGTCCATGAGGATTCTCCAGGCAATAATACTGGACTGGGTTGCCATGCCCTTCTCCAGGGGATCTTCCCAACCCAGGGGTCAAACCCAAGTCTCTCACATTGCGGACACATTCTGGAGTTTACTAGCTCATTAAAAAATAAATAAAGAGGTCTCAACACAGTTAATGAATTTCACCCCCGACAAATGGGTGCAACCTTCAGTTGGAAAGACCTTGAGCTAATAAGAACCCGGAGGTTATGAAATGTATTGTTGTATCTCATATGTTATATCACATATTATCTCTCTATAGAGTTATGTTGTTGTGATCAGCACCAACTCAGGAGCTGGTAGATTTTCTGCAATTGTCATTCTGACCTCGGCTGGGCCCCTGCCCTGGACCAGAAGGGGAACCATTCTGAGCCCGAGGGAAGGTCACTATCAGCCCCAGCCTCTGCATCCAGGGCCCCAAATACTGGCAGAGGTGGGAGCAGAGGCTCCCTGGGAGGGGAGGCTCAGGCCTGACCCCCTACCGGGGAGCTGGGTACCCCATTAGGGAGGTGGCAGTGGTGGGTGGTAGAAGAACCGCAGGCCAAAGAAGCAACAGCCAGGCCCAGCCCGGTGGGGATTAGCACTGCTCACCTGGAGTTTGCGGCCACGGCTGCGAGCCTCAAGGCCCTAATATTTTCCTTTCTGGATGAGACACCCACTGCACCCAGGTTGTGGACTCTGGGGCAGTCGGTTCCACCAGAATACCAAGAACAGGCCGAAGTCATCTTTTCCTGCGTAGGGCAGACATTTCTCCTACGCCTGTCAGCTAGAGTTGAAAAGCTAGTGTATGTGTTTGCTAGGAGGATTAACCACCCTGTACAACCCGCTGGGGTTTCCACCAGACTGAAAGGGGGTGCCCAGAAGCCAAGGCGGAGGCTCAGGTCTGAGTCAGCGGAGTCCTGCTTGCTGGGGGCATCTCAGAATCTTAACACTTGAAACCTTTCTTGGTTTTCGAGAGAAATGAGGGAGCCATTTTGATGTATGGCAGAGACCAGCACAATATCGTAAAGCAATTATCCTCCAATTAAAAAAATTTTTTTTAAAAAAGAACATCTAAAAAGGTCCTTCAGAGTTTGTAAATTTAACCCGCAATCTTGCAGGGCTTTGGCCTGTTTTCACCATCCTCACCAGTGCTCTGAGAGGCTCCGCAGGGCCCACTAACTCAGGGACCCTGGTGTAGGATGGGCTTCCCGCAGTAGCTCTGCGGTAAAGAATCTGCCTGCCAGTGATGAGGGGTCAATCTCTGGGTTGGGAGGATCCCCTGGGGGAGGACATGGCTACCCACTCCAGTACTCTTGCCTGGAGAATCCCACAGACAGAGGAGTCTGGCCGGCTACAGTCTATGGGGTTGCAAAGTCGGACATGACTGAGCGACTGAGTGAACATGAAGGTGTTGGACGGAGGCTGCTGGTGGTCAGAAAAGGGAAGAGGTCAGTTTGTACCTTTCTCTAAGGCGTGGGGGTGGGGGGTGGGGCGGTATTTAGGGGCAAGCCCACCAGTGAGACGGATGTAGTTCCTTTTTTAGGTTGAGGGTTTTGGAAGTTCCTATTGTTATTAATAATCGTACCCGATTGATCTGTGAATAAAAGCCCTTCGGGTCACTTCTTTCTCCCCAGGGGCATGAAGCCCCTCTAGGAGCAGCCAGGTAGGGGGTCAAAGACCTTGAATTTGGGCTCCTTCCAGAGTTTCCAGGGAGGACTGCCCTGGTGCAGCAGCATCCGGGCTGGAGGGGGGCCCTCCCGCAGGTCGGAGGGCCCTTGGGCACAGGTCTCTCTGACCCTGCTCCTCCAATCCAGGGATGTCACCCCTCCAGAGCTCCCCCCATGACCCCCGTTGCCATCTTTCCTTCACGTTTTACACTCTGACCCCTTCCGTCCACAGGAGTCCAAGAGGTGGGGAAGTTACCCCACCTCAGAAAGGCTTTTTCAGAACCTCCTTCGCATTCTTCCTGAGGAAGCTGAGGAGGGGGGCCAGGAGTTGGAGAAACACGTCCCCAGTGCGCCAGGCGGCTCCTGGACCTCCCGTCCAGGTTCAGGCTCGCGGTCTCTCGCCTCCCAAGAAGCCCGCATTGCCCAAGGCTCCAAGGCCTTTGGCTGCAACTTCGCACGGGTCAGTCCAGGTTTGATTGGCGCGGGGGGAAGATTGCAGCCTGAGTTTGGACTCTGTACTGCCTCAGAACTTGCCTGAGACCCCACGGAACCTTTGGGAGAAAGATTGAGAGAGGCAAGCCTTGGGGACCCTGGACATGCCCGGATTCCCCAAAGACCCGCCTGGCTTGGCCAGCTCACAGTCAGGCAGGCCAGTCAGGTCGGGCAGATTGGGGGCTGAGGATTCCCGGGGTGGGGGCACCTGCAGCCTCGTCCCCCGACTCCTGCGGGTTAGCTGGGAGAAGGAGAAAAGGCCTCGACTTGCAGCGCAGGTGAGCCTGGAAGGGGCTTCCGCACGGAAGCGGTCACACGGTGCAGGTGATGCAGGCCGCGCGGCCGGAACTCGCCGCCGCCGGGTCGGGCGGTAAGAGACCTGGGGGCGGCTCCGGGCCGACTTTCCGGTACCCGCCAGTGCTAGGGGCCTTCCGAGCCGCCTGTGCCAGGAGGGCATCTCCCTCCTCAAACTGCCTTGCTGGGAAGCAGCCTGTTTGTTCAAAAGTGAGTGAGCTTCCCCAGACTTCTCCATCGGGGTGAGTGGCCAGTCCCCGGTCTTGCGGTGAGCCCCCTCCCGGCCCAGCCCCGGCCACTGGACACCTCTGCACGCCTGGCTACAGTTTTCCTTACTTGCTTCTCTGCACCTACTAGGTGCCCCTGAGCTGGTCTGGCTTGCTTCACAGAAGTCGCCAGTAAGGGGGGGGGGGGGTCGGGTGGGGAATGGAATTTAGAGCCAGAAGGAGGCCGGGGCTCTGAAGCAGGGGTCCGGTGCATCCCAGAGACCCGCTCGGTTCCCTCCACGGCACTCTAGGAGTCCTGGGCTGGGGGACCCCGCTGGAAGGAGATTGGAAGGTCCGAAGCCTTGAACTCGAGCAGGCCTAGGCTGTCGGGAAGCTCGGGCTCCTGGAGTTCAGCGGACAGGGGAGGAAGAGGTTTAAATTCCCAGCAAGAGCCCTGAGTAGAAAGGCCGCTCCAGATTGAGCCAGGAAAAAACGCTTCTACGCAATATGGTCTTGTTAGCTCCCTATGGTTTAGTCCGACTCTAGGTTATCCCGGGTGGGGGGCTGGGGTCACAGACCGAGAGAGGGTCCTGGGAAGCGCTTGGAGACAGGGGGCAGTCGAACGGAGAGCGGGTGAGGACAGAGCGGCTGGCGGGGAGGGCGTGGGCAGACTCACCTGCCCACTGGCCTTTCCACGCGTGAGCCTTGGTAGACTTCATCCACGGGAAAGGCAGCTGGACGCGGCCGGGTTCCTCCAGGGCGCCCGGCTCGGCTCCATCGTGGAAGGGCCCGGCCGGCGGGTGGGCGAGCGCGAGCTGAGCCGGGAGGTGGTGGTGGAGGTGCGCCATCGCAGGGTCGTCGGCGAGCGGAGGCACCTCGTACGGGGAGATGTCCGGGGGGCTGCCCTGCTCCAGCGCGCCCAGGGCTCCGGGGAACGGCGGCGGCGGCGGCGGCGGCGGGGGCTGGCGGCCCATGTACAGGCACGCAGGGGGGCTGGCGCTGAAGTCGGGCGCCGGGCCCCTCTGGAACGCGCAGGGGTCCTTGTACAGCTGCGTGGCCGCGTAGTACTGCTCCTCGCGGTTCATGGCTGCCGCCCGGGCTTGGGACTCGGGAGAGAGAGCTGGGGCCGGGGACTTGGAGCTGCGCGGCGCTGGCACTCCCGGCGCCACCCCTATAGCTTTGACAGCTCGGCGCGGCTCGCGGAGGGCACCCGGGGCCGGCGGGACGGGCGGGCGGCCGCCGCGCCATAGGCTCCGCTGTGCCCCACGTGGCTCTGCCTGAGGCCATTATTGGCCTGGCCGGCGGCCTTAAGAAGCCAGACCCGGGTCCCCACGAGCCCCCTGGATGTTTCCGTTTTCTCCCTCGGCTCGGTTTCCTGCACACTCTTGAAAGGACAGTGCCAAAGTGGGGGCAGGAATGAACATTCATAGTGGGTCAGGAACTTCTATTCGTTTATAGAAATATATTTCATCATAAACAATCTGTTTTTCCTTGGATGTTTCATACTGTACATACTAGTTCATTGATATAATTTACAAGTATATACATATGTTGAGGTTGTAAACAGACTTTAAAAATACTGTTAGGGAATATGGTCCCAAAAAATGCACAGACCTCAGCTCTACAGGTCAGAAGCCGTTGGTTCTATTTTATTTGTGCAATTTGTATACAACCATGAGTGATGTCAGTGAGCTTACACATAAAGATCCAGGATTCGCAGTGTGATTTCGTCTATGGTTGTGCTCTGGGTATTTCTGGGGTGTAAACTATAAGTTCAGAAGCATTCACAATGGCTTAAAAATTTTTTTAAATTGAAAGGCACTATTAATTTTTGATTTGGGGGAATTGAGGCTCATTTGGTCAACTCAGAATGTAGGTTCCTACTGGAGCCAGGAGGAAACGAAGTTGCAGCCCTCTGTGTCTGGCCGGGGAGGGGACTGGCACCCTGTTTTTCCGCTCTGTTAGCCCCCCAGGAATCCCGAGACCCAGCCTGAGTTGGGCGGCTGCAGAGTCGACTCCTGGGTCGGATGGAAAAAGGTAGGCTGGGGAGGGGAGTGCGCAGAAAAGCACTCTGGGGTCCTCACTGCATAGAGACGCTTTTTCGAAACCAGTGGTGCTCACGGACTATCTCGAGGTCGCATTGGCACCAAACCTCGGACCCACGCCACCGACCCTTTCGCCCTGGGCATTCTGAGCGTTCTGACGAAATGACCGCAGTCTTCCAACCGCCAAGGCGTGTTTTAGAAACCCTGGACCCCTTTGCAGAGAAGCCTGGGCAAGAGAGAGCGTGGACCACCAGGAACCAGCAAGAGAAAATCACTGCACTGACTTTCCTAAACGGCAGACTGCGTCCAGTCCTTTACCAGGCTTGACCAGATTTTAACCGACTGGTGGAAAACACACGAATGCGTAGGCAGTGCATGCGCTACCCCAAAATACGCCTCGTTTTCATTAAAAAGCAAAACCTAGCCGGGGATCTGAACTTCTCGGCAGATTCCTTCTGTGGTGAGATGTTGGTGCGGGCATCATCTGTGCTGGGGTGAGTAAGCGCTGGGCACCGAGGGGTCCGCCCAAGGGTGGGCACGCGCGCCGCTCCGGGGCCCTCCGAGCGCCTCTCTCACCGAAGGGACGGCTGAGAGCAGCGGGCGGCGGGGGGCAGTTCCGGCGATTTCTTCAGGGAAAAGGGCCACCTGCAGTCCGAGGGAGCCGGGGAGCGAAAGGCCGTGGGACCCGAGCCCCTAATCTCTCCGCGCCCCCGTCAATGAGTCCATTGTTCCCGGCGTCCGCGGAGGACCCGCTATCGCCGGCCGCGAGCGACCACATCGATCCTGAGGGCAGGGCCGGAGGGGGGGCCGGGCCGCCGCGTGTTGACCCTCGGAGATAATCGGCTCGGTCGCCGCGGGTTGACTTGGCGACGTGGTTATGAGTAGGCGGCAGCACCGCTTGGGACAAAGATCGGGCACCTTTCCCCTCCCCCCTCCTCTCGCTCGTCCCCTCCTCAGCCCCCCTACCCCGCACGGCAGCCCCCGCCTCCCTCTGCTGCCGCCCGCCTCCCCCGGCCCTCTCCCTCTCCCTCTCCCCCCTCCCCAACGTGTTTACTTTGCACTTCTCGTCTAATTGCACATTTCTGTAAATTGGTCTCCATTTCGATGCTTCATTTGCTCCCATTTAATATTTTTGCTCGGTCCTGCAGAAAGGAAAGGGGCACTCAGCAGAAAGCCAACCCGCCCCCTGCGCTCGCTGGCAAAATCCGGGAATCCGGGGGGCCAGGACGACCGCCGGCAAACGTGGGGAGGGGGCGGTGGGGGCTGAAGGTGGGCCTCCCGCACCCTCCCGCTCTCACAGTAAGCCTTTTCTGCTGCTGCTGCTGCTGGCTGCCCCAAGAAGTGGCCCGGGAACCCGCGGTCAGACGGCCGTTTGTTGTTATTAGGTGGGACAAGGTAAGAAGATTTGGGAATCGCCTGATTATCAGGCTGATACAGATCCTCGCCCCCGAGCTTGGGTGGTGCGTTGTGTTTCTTCTGTGGACCGGGCTCAGGGTGTCATAAAAGCGCCAAGTCCATTAAAGGTGAAATGCATTTCCGCTCTCGCTCCCGCTGACGCCCGCGCCCCTTTCGCCTCCCACAGCCCCGGCAGCGATACCGAGCCATTAGACGAGCGCCTTCTCGAGCCATTTAGCAGCAGCTCTTATGGATAAACAAACAGAAAAGGCTGTAAACCAATTAAAGTGTGGACAGTGAAAAAGTCGTTTATTAGCAGGACGTCCTGATGGCTGATACTGGCGGTCCTCGCCTGCCCTCTTCCCCACTTCCCGAGGCCCGGCTCGCGAACGGAGGTCACCTTGTTCTCCCATCGGTGACTGAGTCTTCCTCGCTGTTTTCACAAGCGTGCCAAAGGATGAATTTGGCTCGGCGATGAGAATTTTTAAGCCATTGTATTCCATTATAAAGGGAAAACAATATATGGTCATCATTTAGCTCGGAGGGTGCGTTTGTGATGTATTTTTGTGCAATTTAATTTATTAGAGTGTATTCTTTATAGTTAACTTGCTATTAAATGTTACCCGGACGTGAGGCACTAAAGCAAAGGATGTGCTCTATGACATGAGGACATTCCTTCCATAATGTACCTTGAATCTGGGTAGATGAGTCAGTGTTTTTTTCCCCAGGTCCATCATCCTTCATTCCTACTCTGGTACCCAGGTCTGAGAGGGGCCAAGGAAAACCTAACTCATTCAGGAAAAAAGATCCCAGACTTTGAATCAAAGGCTTTCCATTGACTGCTAGGACAAGACAAGCGTAATTCGGTGGAGAGTTGAAATTATTTTCCAGATAATTCGGTCAGTTTACCACTCTAAATATCTAGTAAAGTGTTAGTTGTTCAGTCATGTCTGACTCTTGGTGACCCCATGGACTGTAGCCCACCAGGCTCCTCTGTCCATGGGATTCTCCAGACAAGAATCCTGGAGTGGGTAGCCATTCTCTTCTCCAGGGGATCTTCCCAACCCAGGGATCAAACCGGGTCTCCTGTATTACAGGCAGATTCTTTACCATCTGAATCACCAGGAAAGCCCAAATGTCTAGTAAATACAGCCTAAAGATCTAATTTAATTGGACAGTTGTCTTGTTCCCTACGTCACTGGCTCTCTTTATGATAAGAGAAGAGTGGGGCATATGGGGGGGGGCTGTGCCCTAGGACTGGGCTCGGTGCCCCTCTCCCCCAGACACCAGCCCTTTCCTCCTGCTTTTTGTTTCATCTTTCTGAGGCCCGCAGTGTACTCTGCACCTGAAAGGAAAGTGCTCCAAAGGGCCTCAGCTCACCCCTCCTCCATCAGGCATCCCTGTGTCCGGCCCCGCAGCTCTGGGCTCTCACCTCTGGCCTGCTCTCACCCGGGCTCCCATCTGTGCTCTGTGCTCTGTGCAGTCTTTAGAAACCCCAGGCCTTTCATTTCTCTTCTCATCTTAGTCCTGGGTAACCAGCTTCTTGCCTTCACTGAGCTTCCCTGTCTTAGCTCCCTGTTCCCTGCCTCACCGTTTCCTCACTGATCCTTTGTTCTCCTGGGAGCCTTTCCTTACCCCCACGTTCCTGCTGGAGCCCAAAGAAACCTTGACCCACACTTTCCTGAACCATTCTGCATTTCATTTGGCTTATTGGTTTGAAGGTTGAATATTTTCAATAACATTTATTCATCAAACACCTATATACCTCTTACTGTACCTGTTTGCAATTTCTCTGAGTTACAGAAAGTCAGGAGTGAACAAGTTTGCACTTTGGTGTATCACATAGAAATCTTAGGAGCTGCGTATACGTGTATTCTGAATCTGCTCTGCACCAGCCATGTCCCTTGGCAAGTTATACAACTTCACAAAATCCTAATTTGTGAAATGAAAACAATGGCACTGCTTGATAACATATACCCATAAAATAATAACATCACACTTTCTTGCTGTGTAGTAGCACTCAGGAAATACTAATTGTTAAAATTATTTTTGTGAGATTTCAGAGAAACAAAATGTCTAATATTTGTGGCAATTCATAGGCACTCGGTAAATTGTCTGTCTCTTCCTTTCTTCCCTGGCATTGCTTTTCATGCTGTGTCCAGTTACATACAACTCTCTGTGACCCCCTGGACTGAAGCCCACCAGGCTCCTCTGTCTGTGGGATTTCCCAGGCAAGAACACTGGAGTGGGCTGCCGTGCCCTCCTCCGGGGGCTCTTCCCGACCCAGGGATTGAAGCTGTGTCTCCTGTATTGCAGGTGGATTCTTTGCCTGCTGAGCCCTGGGGGAAACCCTTTCATGCACTTTCAAACATTTAACTGTTGGTAATCGCTGCAGACTCCAGAGTCTCAGAGCTGTTACCAGGAGCCCTTGACTGCAGACATTCCCAGACAGGTAGGCCTGGAGAGAAATATTCAGGGACACGGACGAAGCACTGGGTGGATATATGCCTGTGTTTTGGGGGAATGTGCCCTCTGCTTAAAGGGGAGAGAGGAGGGGGAGATGCTATTGGCACTAGCTCCAGCCAGCCCCGAGGACATCACATGGGGCGAAACAGGACTGAGGAGATGCAGGGGCTCCTCCTATC